TAGGAAGCTTAAATATATATAATCAAAAGAGTAATGTGCATGGGAAGCTTTTTAAACTTCATTAAACTATGCAAAAATAAAATTAGGAGTAGGGAAGTATGGATGACACCATATGTGCACAACAGAGGGGTGGATGTAGATACTAATATACATTGCAAAGGAAAAGGTATTTGAGGAATAGATCTTTCATCCCTCACAGACCCATCTCAGGCAGCCATGTTTGTGTCTTAAGGTTTTATGTGTGAATTTCGTCATTTGCTTATAGACACAGAGAGTACCGGTACTGTAACCCAGTTGATTAGGGACCTAAGAATAATATCACTGAGTTTTAATACTTGCCCCAGATACCCAGGTTTTGAAAGCATCACTAGATCTGATATCTCTTTCTGGATAAGTCAGTTGGTTTGTCATTTTTGACCAGACCATTTGGCTCAAAAGTGTCTTTTGTACTAAAGGTGTTTGGTGGGTATCACATGTTGTGAAATAGGTTTAACCCGCTTAGGTTTACAGGCAGGTCATTTAACCGTTTTAATTACCTTAAATTCACAACACTGCCTTTACACTTTATAAACTTTGTGTGTTCAAATACAAATTACCACAACCAAAAGAATGTTTCATACATGAAGCATGTGTTTGTTCCCCCTAATAACTAATGTTGTTTTATATTTTGAGTAAATAAACAACTTTCACTGTTTAGATAGTAATGGTACTGTTTTTTTATTATAAGTCTTGTTTATCTATGAACTTATAGTTGTATTGATTTGTCATTAATTCATATTGCCATGCTTATAAGAAATTAGTTTAAATTCAGTGTATGAAACACTAAAACATACATGAAAGTTACCCTCATGCAAGTGGTTTTTAATGTGCCATAGGCAAAGAATCCAACTAATGCCCTGAGGCAGAATGGTTATAGAGGCTTTTTGTGGTTTGCCTTTCAGTCATAGTCAAGACTTATTATAATTAATTGTAATATTTAGTTAAGACTTTTAACAACTATTCTGGGTAGAAGTTATTACATATTTTTTTTCAATTTTAGCAACACCTGGAAGCCTTTATCATAGAGACTGTAGAAAGACTGAGAAGAAAGGCTGAACTAAGGACAGCAAACAGTAATATTGCAGGTAGGAAAGTGATTATTTTCAGTGTAATGGAAGGTTTATATTATGTTAGTGGGAAAACCATGTATTTACTGTGTGAAATTGGTTACAAGAAATATGTTAATTTTAGAGAATTCAAAAATGTCATTATCAAACTGTAAAAATGCAGTCTAATACTGTTAACAAAATGTTATTGAACTAAAAACTGAAAGTCATTACAGCTCATAAATACATGGAAATATGAATTTAAAAGCTATTATTACTTCATAACTGACTTGTATAGTCACTGTGAATCAGACGGTACATGGTCTGATAAATGGGAATAATCACTCAATAAATCCACCCAAAACCTATGTACTATCTGGTAAACGAGACCAATTACTGGATATTCATAACCACACAGACTTTCTCTTGTAAGAGAAAAACTCACTGTGTACTCAAAACTACCTAGATATTGTCTAGTAAAAGATAATACTAATAATTACAGCTTAAATATTCTTCAAGAAAATGAGAATACTCACAGTAAATCTGTCAATGCATAAATGTTAATAGATAAAAGGGAATATTAATTTGTAAATTTTAGTGTTTTAGTGTGATTAGGCATAATGTAATGGAGGGCACCTAGAATATTGTTTTAATTACTGGATACTAAACATACTTCTTTATATGTTCTACAACATCATCATATAAAATGGTACCAATAAAAATTGTTTTTTGTTTATATTATTCCTGAATATTTAGATGTACATTCAGTATGTTTTGTTTTTCATGTTGCCAGAATATTTTGAATGTCGTAATTATTAACTCCATAATTTTTTGTTGTTTATTCTGACTTATAAATTTTTAGCAAACCGTCCAGAAGACTCCTTCTTTAGTAAGTTGGACTCTAGTCTCAAAAAGAACACAGCATTTGTGAAAAGATTAGTGAGTGTCTGTTTGGTATTTTATCTTGGTGCAATACGTATCTATACACCTGGAAAAAAGTTAAGCACCCCCGTGTTTTTTTCAAGTGATTCAGATTCGACGTTCTTGTGACTGATTATAAATTATCATTCAATCTAAACGTGTTTATCAAATGAAATTATAGCATTATTGGGCACAAGAAAACAAGATTATCACCGTAAAATAACAATTTTTAATTT